ATTTTCATCCTTCATTAGTCCACATTAGTGTGTCGGTTAACCACACACGCTCCACTAACTGACCAATAAGGTGCAATGTGCAATTTCATGGGTTAGCATCAAATTCACATTTTTCTAAAGTAACTAAGATTGAGAATTTATAAAAGGTTTAGTTACTTTATATTTCATTATACTTTTAATGAGGATTTAAATGTCCTGTCAAACCCGTTAGGCTAACAACCCTCCACTGGTCAATGGTATGGTGGGTAAGAATGGATACCCAATGGTGGTCATTTCAACAGGCCGCTTCCTTAAACACCCCTTATAGATCAGCTTCGTGAATAAGGCCTACAAACGGTAAGACTGACTTTTTACTTATACATATATAATATATTAAACTTTTAATTTTATATAATATAAGGGTGTATTTTACACTTTTAAAATACTAGATGGTTTAATTTATTAATTAAACTAGACTTTTAATTTAATTAAACTCAAAACATATAATTATGGATTTATTAATACTCTTTTAATTAATCTTTTAATTAATTATCAACAAAGCCATAATTAAACTTTTAAGTCTAAATTTAAGTTATGAAGCCAAAAGGTTTAGAATTTAATATTTCACAATTAAAACTTTTAATCAAATTTTAAATTCCAAAACTTGAGGGCAAGTTTTGAAACTCTTCAAAACCTTTCAGATTCCTAAACTTGATGGCAAGTTTTGTAACCTTTCAAGACTCTTGAATTCCATAACTTAAGGAGTTAATTTGTTTAATGAATGAGACTTTTCAAGTTCCATAATTTGAAGACAAGTTATGAAACTATTCAAAAACATTTAGATCAATTTAAGTAATATTTTTTGTAACTCCTTAAAAAAACTTTTGAGTTCCAAAACTTGATGACAAGTTTTGTAACTCTTCAAAACATTAAGATCAAATTTTAAACTAATAAAATAATCATAATTTTATCTTTAAGCAATTTGACCTAATCAAGTTCATATAGCAAGATAATTCAAATAAAAAATTACAAATAATTTAGCTTATCATATAAACTAACCAATAATCTTGAAATTTTGACAATTATCTTTTAATTGGATGAGCATAATCATTACCTTATCATAAAAACAATTTTTATAAATCAAAACAGTTTGTGGTAATGATCCTAATCTAAAAACTGGTCAAAAAACTCGAAAAATCTGCCAACAGATTGTCCAACTCGTCGAGTCAGGCTATAGACTCGTCGAGTTCATCTCCATATGATCCAAATCGTCGAGTCCACTCATGGGACTCGTTGAGTCCAGCATCCAGACAACATTTTTCCAATTTTTTCAACTTTGAACAATTAACCAATGCATCTATATAACAGAAAACAACCCATGACTCTGATACCACTGTTGGGTTTTATGTACTATAACACTCCAATGGTGCACATACAACCCTAATGCGTTGGATCTAAGTTTTCTCTAATTATACATGCATTATTCTTTTTCCAAAGCATGAAGCCTAACTAGCATGCAACTTTGATATATGAATCATAAAAAACTAGTTAGAAGATTACCTCTTTGTTGTAGCTTGTAAAACTTGGACCTTAAGAGAGCTTAGCACCCCAAGTGTTGTGCCTCAAACAAGTCACAAACACCATGAACAAGTGGAGAATAATGAGAGAGAGGTTGGGAGCTCCAAAAACGGCTAGGTTTACACCTTGGAGTACTAGTGGCCGATTTTGCAAGCTTAGGCATTTAATTTATAGTTTGGAACTCCTAGGGTTTAAACTTGTAAACCTTAATTCACTTGGGCTTTTAATCCATTAACCCATTAGCCTTATGGACTAACTCTTGATGGACTCTCACAAAGGTTTAGTCCATTTCTAATTAACATGGATCATTAGCCCACACTATAAATATCACTGATTTACATAATCAGTCCCTGCATATTTAATTACTCTCTTTTGATCACTAAATTAATTCCAAATTAATTCTTGACCAATACTAATTAAATAATATGATTTATCAATTAATATATTATACTTATAATATATTAATAAATCACAAATAACCTCTTTCTCAAATATCCATCCTGTCAAATTGTCCTGATGAAGGCAACCCGAAATGAACCATGTTGCTCTCGGGTCAAGTACATACCAATTATAGTTATGGGCTTAGACACCTAATCCAACAAAAACGTCATCCTATATACCAGGATACATATCTAACATCTCACAAAGCATCATCCTATATACCAGGATACATATCTAACATATCACTACAACATACAATCATGCGATAAATCAGGATAACAATCCAAAGGGCCGACCTTGGTGCCTTCGACCCAAAAGTACAGTGAGGAAAACTCACCTCGCACTGCCGAATCTCACAGAAAGGATCTCTAGCTGCTGGCCCACTAAAATCCCCAGGCTAACAATCACAAAATAATTATCCATCAATAATCGAATCCCGACCCACACTAAGTGTCCAAACTAAGGTAAAACACCTTTGTACCCTTTGCCCAACTTGGCCCAAGTCCTAGGCCCAAAACACCAATCCAAAGGCCCAAATCCTAATTAGCCACCCAAGGCCAAAATCATGCCCCAATTTTCCAAATTGGGCCCAAATCCCATTATGGGCCTTCTCAAAATAATTATCAGCCCAAAACCTGATGGCCTAACAGGGCCCAAAACAATCAAGCCCAAACAATGGCCCAAATTGAAGCCCAAACACCGAAGTCCAATCCTGCCGAGTGTACGGGGCGTACTCAGCTTGTATGCTAAGCGTACAGGCTATAAGACTTGTACGCCCAGCGTATAAGCGTGTACGCCCAACGTACTCCTCCATTCAGCCAACCTTCCCATTTAGCCCTTAATCCATTAAGACATTGTTCCAAAACATATATTTGACATCCTTGAGCTGGATTATCACGTAAAGTTGCTAACTTTATGTTCATGGATGGCTAAAATGAAGCTATTAAGCTTAAAAAAGGACTTAATAGGTGACTTAATGCATGCATGAGACCCAATACCCCATAAAGTTGTCACCTTTATGCTTAAGGAACTCCCAATAAGATCAAATCCAAAAGAATAAGTCCTTCAATCGTCTTAACTCAACAACCAACCCAAAAAGGGACCAAAAACATAACAGATCAAGCCATAAAGAAATCTAAACATTTACAAGCCAAGGTATGAACTTGATGCCTCCAAAGTCTTGCAAAAGGGTGATGATTTTGGATCTATAACCTTCTCACCAAGCAAAGCACCTTCAATCCTTTCCAAATGAGTAAAATAAGCACCAATTTCTTCTCAAGAGCTCAAATACACCACAATGGAGGCTAAGGGTCGATTTCTAGGGTTTAGGAGGCATGGAGGCTGGTAAAGAGGCCATCTTTAAAGACTTAAGGTGCTTAAATAGGGTACAACACACTTAAATTAGGGTTTCTTGCACTCCTCGTACGACCAGCGTACGCCTCGTACGCCCAACGTATGAGGCCGGGGCTTCACGATCCGTCTGCTGACTACGCTCATCGTACACCAATGTACGCCTCGCGTAATGGTCCTCGCACAAATACGCCCAGTGTACTTCCCATGTACGCCCCGCGTACTAGGGTTTTCCCCAAACCTACATTCTTCTGAAGGCCATAACTTCTTCGTTATAAATCCGATTTCGACAATCCTTATATCCATGAAAAGGTAACGAGAAGCTCTACACTTTAATAATCTCATAATCGCCTTAAAACTTCCCAAATAAAAATCCAATTTCCATAAGGTACGAGCTGACACTTTACCAAAATACCCCTTGGCTCCAAAACACAAACCGAACCCCCATATCAAATAGGTTCAGATCTCATTTCCTCAAAGGTCCTAAGCCTAATAATACTCGATCTTTGGTCACCACCCCGGAATAGGAAACGGTTCGGAACATGGTGTTACAATATAATATATGGGTTGGCAGATTGGCGGGTCATGGGTTAGTGGGTTGGAAACCTCAACCCAACCCGACCCATATAACCTGTTTAAGTATATGAGTTCGTGGGTTCACAAGTTAGTGGGTCGAATCCAACCCATATGACCTGTTTAATAAATAACCAACACATTTTCAAAAATGAAGTTTTTTCAACATAAAGTCATAAAATGAATAAAGTAATTAACATAAAAAAGTGGTTTTCAACATAAATTCATAAAGTCATTAACATCCAAATAAAATTGAAAAATGAAAACATTCATATAAAGTGGATGTGTTCTTTGTTCGTGACTCGTGAGGTTCTAAAAATGACTACATGTGTTTTAATTTTCTTTTTTGATTAGGGCACCACAAACGCAGACTAGCGATATACGAATACAGAAGAAAATCAGATTTCATTAATAATTAAATATATCTATTTCTTAACTAGTTTGCCAATTTCATACGCTTTTTAAAATATTATATATATATATATATATATATATATATATATATATATATATATAGGCTTAGGTTATTTTGTTTAGAGTATCTATTGTGTTATTGTATGCATAAATGTGAGCCAATCAAATTTACATATTTTAAGAAAGTGATTAATATATATATTATTGAATTAAATATAATTGAAAAATATCATCTTAATTAATTACAAGGGTAATTTAGTCAATTAATATAGACTTAATAAAGGAAAATTGCATTTTTTAAGGGATCATAGATTCTATTAATTTTAAAAATCCGATTTTTCGAATTATAATTCTTTTAATTCGGAGATTATGACAGAATATGTTTATGAGTATATTCAAAAATAAAAATATTCTTGAACCATAAATAATAAAAATATTTTTGAACCTATTTCTTGATCATGAATTTAAAAACTTCTTGTAGAATAACAAATTCTTGAACAATCAATAGAAGAATAAAAACAAAAAATAGATTATTTCTTATAGAATACGGGTAAAAATTGTTAATAATTACATTTATTATTAAAGAATAAACTAAAAAAACAATCAAAACGGGAAAGAAAACATCAAAATCTAACAATGACTAATACATTCTAAAAGAATAATGTGGTCCGTTTCAATTTTGTGGTCCGTTCTTCAAGCATCAACTTCTGTAATTCCAACAAAACTGTCCATTCCAACAGAATTAGAATTCATGATTCCATTCCAACGGAATTGGAATTCGTGATTCCATTCCAAAAGAATTGGAATCTCACCAAGATTCATTTTGTTGGAAGGGGATTTTCCTCCTACGTTACATGTAGCTAAAAAAATGCTGGTTCAAGAATTCAAGGATCGAAAATAAGTAAATAATTATTAAAAATCATAAGTCGAAAGTCAAAAAGGGGGAATAATTATGAGTTAAGGATACCTATAGTTCTGTATGTTTATGATCTGAGGGTGGTCAAGATCAACTGTTGACCACCTATGAGCTTCTGTACTCCTGCTGGATTTTTCTGTTCATTGAAGTGATATATACCATATGTTAATCATTTCACCAATCATTTCACCAAACTCTTAGCCATTCCCAGATCAGTAATCTACCAACAAAATCAAAACTTAATAACATTCACAAATATGATATTAAAAATTATTATTCCCAATTCCCACCTTTGCTCTCCAGTTTTCATCCAATAGAATGTTAGTGGATTTAACATCTCTATGCAAGATTCTTGGTGCAGCTGCTTCATGAAGATATTCCAACCCTCTAGCAGCTCCAATGGCTACTTCAATGCGGGCCCCCCAGTCTAGACATTTTTCTGAAACCCCATCCAGACACTCTCTCAGGTTGCCATTTGGCATGTATTCAAACACCAAAAGCATTTCAGGCTGTTTTGTGTGGTATTGGTATTCTAAACAGTACCCAAGTAATGGCACCACATGGCAGTGATAAAGTCTTGACAGTAGTTCAATCTAAACATAAATTGAACTTTTTTTTATTAAAAAAAACTATTTTGCATTTGTATATTTAATTAATTATTAATTATTACCTCTGTTAAAAATGTTACTTCCAGCGAAGGAACGAACCTGATATCCACTTTCGTTCCATAATCAATTGACTAGATTTGAAACGAACCTGCCAAATCAAGATGCCAAAGTTCGTCTCTCGCCTCAAGATACACAAGCGAAACTGATATCATTCATAAAGCAAGAATTGAAGTTGTTCATGAAATTGAAGTTGGATTTCAATCCTGTAAGTTGAAATCGATTGGAGTTCTAGGAATTTCCCAAATTCGCAATCGGAAATTGGTCGTACGAATTGAAATCGAAGTACTAGCGTTCATGTTCTAGGCTCGATCGGGAGTTCAAATCAGAATCGGAGGTTTAAAAATCAAATTTTTGGGTCTTGTAAACTGTTGTCTTGATGCGAACAATCCCACCAACAGCGAATCTGAAATTGAATTCTTTCGGAGGCAAAAATCGAAATTGTTCATGAGATTGGAAATTGGACTTTCGGCGATCGTATCTTAATTGGAAATCGGCATTTTTGAAAGGAAATTCATTACCTGATCGGAATGCTGGCGGCGGTGGAGATTGGAGGTCGGAAGCATTGATCTGCAACGAAACGATTCAATCACGCTTCTTCACAAAATACTAAAACGCGGGAGAATAAGAGAGATAAAAGCAGACCTAAAAGAACCCGCACCCACCTCTTCTTCTTCCGTCGAGCCAATGCCACCGAAGCCCCACCTATCGTCGGACCCTCTTCTGGTCTCACCCATCGCTCTCTTTTCTGATCTCACCCCACCTGCTGCTACTCGCATCCCTTTTCCTTTGCAGATCGGCGTTTTAGATAAAAGAGTGCAGCGAGATTTAAACAGGAGAGATTAGATCGGCGTTTTAGATAAAAGAGGGGAACGAGATTTAAACAGGAGAGATTAGGTTAAAAGTCTACCATGATTATAGGGATTAATTTTGGAAGTTACTAAGCAAATTACTAAATTACCCTTATTTATTTATTTAATTATTTAATTTTTTATTTAATTTTGATTGACCCACATTTATGCATACAATAATACAATACTTAGTTTAAACAAATGAACCCAACTCTCTCTCTCTCTCTCTCTCTCTCTCTATATATATATATATATATATATATATATATATATATATATATAATTAGTTATAGAAAATTCATTATCTAAAATATCATTTTTATGTTATTTATATTTTCCGACTATCATATCAGTTAGTTTTTACCAAACGATAATTTTAATTAGCTAGTTTTTATCCATCAATTAACAACTAATTTTTTAATTAATACGTCAAACATAATCTACAAAATCATATGGTCACATCAAACATGTAACTATGTATGTATCTCATTAGAATCTTCAACATATCAAATCATCCTTCTACTAATTTTGTATTCAAACGACATGTGGGAATTCTCAAATAATGGATAGATATCAACCGATCCCACAATCTAAGTGAGCACGTAAACCACAGTGTCTCTACAAGAAAGATATTTTTCTCAATGTTTGAATATAATACAATCAAATACGAAGCTTATGAATTCTCAAATTCTTATCACTAACATAATCACAAGATATATTCCTCGTATAATGTGATACCCTTGGCCTATGCTTGATAAATATTTTACTGCTTTCGCCCATGTAATACAACAGAATTTTCCTGTATACTATGGCCATTATCTGTTAAAGAAAAAAAACGAAGGAAAGGAGTATTTTTGTTATTAGAAAATTAAAGGTAGATAGATATGAAAATCTGTTCCCAATTTTATGATATTTTTGGGTTAAGGATCAGACAGTGACCAACAAAGAAGGGCCCCACCACCTGGACAAAGACCTGGACTGATAAGATATAGGTCCACACATATCATTCCTATTACCTGGCCCATCATTATTATTAGAAATAATAATGACACATGAATAAAATGAATAAAAGTAGAAACAAATATCTTACTCTAATTTAATTCTTCCAACATTATTCTTTTTCTATCAAATGAAAAGTCATGTTATACTTTTTAAATATAATTCTAAGATCTCCTTAAAATACATCTACAAATAGTAAATTAACGTCACCTTTGGGTGTCTGCAAAAAGATAGATCGATCCTTATTATCAAACAAATTAACATGTCAAGAAACTTTACTTGATGTTGATATGTGTTCATGTGTATTAGTAGTAATTACTGGTTGTTTGTCAGAAACATTTAAACATAAGATTTAATTATATCAATACGTGTAGAATATATTTGAAGCGAACCCCAAGCCTAGCAAGCCACAAGACAAGGGGATGAAACAGGAGAAGAACAAACAGTTTACACAAAGACAAAGGGAGAACAAAACTAATCGGTCGAACGAATTTTGACGTAATTGCCCTTACATTTTCTCCACACGTACACCAAGGAAATAATACCATCAATAATGTTTGCAATAGAAAAACTTTTATTAAATATTAGATCGTTTCTCGCCTTTCAAATCCTCCAAATTGTACCATAGGAAATTGCTTGAAAGATCTCTTTTTTTTTTTTTTTTTTTTTGACATCAACCCCAATTAGCTGCGAAGTCATGTAGATCTGCCATTGTATGCATCTGATGCACTGATACACCACACCACATAAAAATATGATCCCATATCTTTGCAGCAACCGGGCACATAACCAACAGGTTGTTTGAAGATTCGATATCGTCAAAGTAGAGGAAACATTAACACCACGCTCTTATAGAGGACTTTGTCTTTGGATGGAAATAAAGGCAAATTAAGATAAATATTTTGTAATTTTTTTTTGCTAACAAATAGTTTTCTCATAATTATATAAAAATATTAATATTAATATTTGTGTATGCTCCTTTGACCATTGTGTTCCTTAATTAATCTTTTGTTTAATGTACATGAGGATGATACAACATATGAAACAATAATTCATCCTGTTGTATTTTCACAATTAACTAGAAGAATTTATTTAATACCTTCTTAGTGGATGGTAAAAAGCTTATGGTCGGAGCCTCGGAGGTCGGTTTATGTTGTTCAGATTGGTGTCGGATAGTTTTGACATTTTCTTAAGATAAAATTACATGGTTGTTCCATGTAGTTTGTCAAACAGATTGATTCAATAAAACTATCTACATAGCTACACATTTAGTTTATATGGTTTTATTTCTTGAATGATTGGTTTTTGTGGTTTTATTTTTTTCATAACCGACTTGAAATTATTATTTTACTCCTCTTTGATATTTTTATCAATTTTTATATCATTTTTACTTATATTATTTCTATTTTAAAAATTTAATATATATATATATATATATATATATATATATATATATATATATACTTTTAAACTAAGTTTAATTAAAAAAATATCTTACCCGTCACACCACCTAATCCTACAGGGTTAAAACCATTTATTTTGTTCTCTTCAACCACACCACCCTACCATCTTCAAGAACAACTACCACATTCTGTCGCCTCCACTGTTACATTCAACCACCATCGTTGCCACCATGAGACTCATAAGACTCATGTAACACCCAAATTTTAATGTAACGTACACCTAAAAAAGTTATTTTTCAAATCATAAATCATAGAAATTCTGGTGTACATTCGTATTAACAAATCGTACAATAAAATATCAAAACGATCTTATGATATTCTCGTACATTGATCCAAGTCAGGTGCTACCAACTTCACACATTTCTACCGAGTAAACAAAATACTACCTCCGTTCCAGAATTATAGTCTATCTTTCTTTTTTGGTTTGTCTCAAAATAATAGTCCACTTCTAAAAATAAATAACATTTTTACCAAAATACTCATCATTATTACCTAACCAATTAAACATTTAATGGAACATTAAATGCAAAGTAACGATAAAATTATCATTTTATTAAATAAAGTTAGTGGTAATTAATGCTTCATTAATCTATGTGTTTTTTTGTCTGTGGACTATAATTTTGGGACGGAGAGAGTATAAATTACTTACACGATTAAATATGTCAATACAATACAACTCTCTACGGTGCCTTTCAAAAACTCATTATATGTATATTCGTACAATATTTTTTTAAAGAAAAAAATATGTATACATCTATCTAAGTTGTTACTCCAACCATTAACTATCCATAGTAGGCTTATACCCACGCTAGCTACTATTATATATCGATAACTCTTTTTCTCCAATGGTATTACAAATGCATAAGTTACCATCTTATCTAACTAATGTTTCTGTAGTGGCATTGCGGCCGGCCAAGTTTCCATTACAACGTATTCATTAGCAAGTACAACATTACAAACACCATGACTACCATTGACTTGCAGTTTTTCAATGATGGTATTACAACCATACAAGACTATCACTATTCTCTAACAATGATCTACAAGCATAGTGTTACGGACACCAAGTCCGTCATTGACTTATAATTCCCCAACAATGATTTACAAGTATAGCGTTATAGACACCAAGTCCACGATTGAATTGTATTTCTTAAAGATAGTATTACAGTCAGCAAGACTACCAGGAATCTTCAATAACAACATACAAGTATATCGTTATAGACACCAAGTCTTCCATTTACTTGTATTCCTCAAAGGGTATTGCAGTCACCAAGACTATCACGACTCTTCAAAAACAACATGCACGTATAATGTTACAGAAAACAAGTCTATCACTAACTTTTATTCCTCAAAGATGGTATTACAGTCACCAAGACTCCCATCTGTGTCAGGCCTATAGACTCACGGTACAATACCGTTCTTGCCATCATCCCATCCTCTCGTACAGTTCAATGGTCATCAACCAAACAATCTGTATACATTCCACAACAATACACCACTATATAAATTCTCCATTACTTGTGGCGATAAACGGTTATACTAACATTTCACTACTCATTGGTAACACATTCAGATTTAATAATTCGGTCATATATATATATATATATATATATATATATATATATATATATATATATATATATATATAATAGGCTCATCGCTCCACATAGCAATAACCTTTTATAAAATTCAACTATACTGGTTTACCACAACTCTTAACCGCACACAACCCCACATGTTCTCAACCCACAACATATTATTTCAAAATAATTATAATATTATATTTATCACATAATACACTAATAAACAATAACATTTATCTAAAAAATGAGTGTGATTACTCACCCAGTTGGTGAAATCCAATTATTATTTTGGCCTCCAGCTCTGCGCTTCGTTCCAATTCATCGCTTGTCCATACCTATTTGGACAATATATCAAGTTCATTAGAACTTGTCTAAATTCACTGTTACGTCAAACATAATGATCAGTTGCCTTACCGCAAACTAATCTTAGTAACAATTTGTTACCAAACTAGCTAAGCTCCCAAATATAGCTGCTAAAAGACTTAACCTCGTAAGTCGTTGGCCGAATCGACAATCCCGGTAAATTAGGGTACACAACCTTTACTGAACAAATTAAGAATTTCACATTAAATTCATCGATTAAACTTATCACTAAGTTCATAATAGAACAATATTACGACTCATATAATATAAATAGGGTCTAATAACCCTTTGCAAAATATCACATAAACATACTTATGTAATAACGAACAAGCCGATACCTTGTTTTCTTCGGTCATATGTATCCCCACACCATCGTCTATATTTACCATCTTTTCTTCAGATTAATTCACATTTTCTTTTGATTCTATTTCTACAAAAGCTCCACCGAACGAGACATGTATAACATATATTTTTGGACATGGCACAAAATCATGTCTTGGTTCTCTCTAGTCGCGTCGCAGCCCCTATGTTTCATCCGGGATTTGCCACGCATCAACACGTGTCAAAGATTGGCCATGTATCTTTTACCAGGCGCATCACACCTTAGCCAAGTGCACCACGCTTTTTCCGCACACAACATTGTGTCGCATATCAGTGAAACGTATCTTCTATTTCGAGGCGTCACAACACCGTCATTGTCGTACCGCGACAACTTTGAGTTTTGTTGACTTTTTTGACTTTGACATCTCATGTTGCATCCTTTAGTAATAACAATCTACTTTCATCAGACG